TAATATTATATTCAGATTATTATTTTATCACAAAGCAATGATAATGGAAAACTTCGAAATGTCATATAATTTAACGTGATTTGATATATTGATTTGATTTGAATTTCATAAAATTAACAATGTAGCCTGAAAATTATGGAAAAATCGAGAAACTTTGTCTTAATACGCGAAATCTCTGATGCGTAGACATATGGCAATGTAATGTGTCTTACACGATGCACGGGAATAATGTTGCGGGCCATCAACTCATATAGTAGTATTTCAACATGACGATGCATTAGAGTACGTAAATTGCTATTCTTCAAACCGAACAATTTAATTACTTCCTTCCCTTTTACCAACAAATTGCCATCTTAATATAATTAAGCCGTTATACATATATACACACACACAGGATGAACACAATACATTTTCTTAATTATCATTAATCTTTTTGCTAAAAACAATTTTGTTAAAAACATTAGCGAGAGGTAAAGATGACGGGAGAAGTAATTATACGAGGCTTAACATTTTCAAGTTATCTATCATTATTTTTCCGGAATTTTTTTTCTTGTTTAAATAGATCTTAAGTAAGTAATTCTTGGAAGGAATTACGAAGCATTATCCGTTAATGGAGCGGGTTAATTCACCATGCTCTTTTTGCATAAAAAGGATAAATTAGGAACTTTGAATTTTTTTTCTCAAAATATTCTTCTCAAAGCGGCGCCTTTGCCCATGTATCCTTCTCTTAGCCATCGTCTCAATTTATTCTCGTAGGCTGAATTTACCTTATTAGCCTTTGTGGCTTACGACGCCGTTGTTGCAACGAAAGTGCCGGGGTCGCACACTCACGTGTGCCAGAGGCGGTACAGGGATTGGTCTGTAAAATTGTAAGGCAGTAAAGACGCTTTCATCCCGGTAGTTTGCAAAGTACACGCATCTTAGTAACATTACATCGACGTAATATGTCAGCGCTATGATGAGGAAAATGTACTCGCGAAGAGGCTCTTCTAAAGAGCAAAGGCTGCGTCGTGCGTCGTGCGATCGTGAAATTCAATTTTTAAAGGCTTTAATCAGTTCGATTTTAATCCGAGCAACACTGCCCCACTTTTCGAAGTAATAACATCGGGCAATAAATGCGCTCGTATGTCACGACATATATCTGAATCTCCAACATCTCTCATATCTCTGATATCATACACCACGTTCTCTTTCCCTCAGTTAAAAAATTTATTTATATATTTGATTTATCTTCATCGTTCAAAAACAAACTTCATACATATTTCTGGAAGAGAATTTCAAAAACCGCAATTTTTATTTCATGTATACCAAAATGTAACGTTATTTCATAACTCGTGTTCCGGCAGATTTCGCTTGGTAAATTGTTTTACGAATTGCACTATTTTTGTTTTTGTATCTCCTTTTGTATCTCCATCTTTGATTTCACGTTTGTTTCCGCGTTTTTATTTTTAATATTAAACATTGTTGCCGCAACTTGCAACAACGCTTGTACGCGGGAACATTGAAAATATCATTTAAAGAGATTTTACTTCAGGATGTAATGAATAGTATTTTTTCTCACTTTTCATTTTCTTTCTCTTTCTTTTCCGTATCATGCAGCTCATGATACAGAACGTGTAGCTTGAACTCTTGCGTGTTTGCCTTGGATGCCGCATGTGTATGCATCCTGCCGGAGAGTATGTTGTTGAAATACTTTGCGGAAGGAAGCGATACTCGTGAACATTCCATGCCGGAGTAGCGATACCTTCGGTGGTATTCTTCGCCACCGACAGTTTCGTTTAGTTCTGCACGGTATCTGCGATATTGCACGCCATTTTTCGACCGGCTGACTATGCGTACCGATGCCGGAAACATTTTATTCCCGTCGAATACAAATCGCGCTGTGATGCGCACTCGGATTTATTCTTCGACGCGTTCCAAAGAAAACTGGATAATCAAGGTGCCATCGGTACCTCCCTCCGCTGCAATTTAATTAGATTGTACGAACATGCGGGCGATAAGCCGCAGCTATACTCCATTTAAATTAGAGCTTAAGCCGGTAAACCGTAGAAATACCAGACTCAAATCGACATTAGTTCTAATTAATTAATCAAATAATAAACGTACGTTTTGACGATATGCATGAATTTAAAATCATTCCTTGGCATTGCGCGAGTTTCAGTATAAGTCAAACTTATATTAATTTTTATATAATTGAAAGACCAAGAGAAAATATTTACAAAAATTAATATTTTTCTTAAATTAAATATTTAAGACAAATTTTACATTTTTACATCAAGAGTTTTATATAAAGATGTAAAATTCTTTATTTTATTTTTTTTATTTTTATATAAAACGTATATAAAGTACCTGTCCTAAAAATAATGCTATAAACATGCGATAAATAGAATAATGATGTCGTAAATAATATATTGAGAGAAAGTCATAAATGACAGAAAAAGAAATTAAGGAAGGACAAGAGAGAAAATTCTAAAACCGAAATACTGAAATCGCGTGAAATGGAATGTTTTTGTGGCATAATAAACTGGAGCGATTCGTATATTGCGCAAAATTAATTCGGCAATATTGGAAATGGAAAGAAGATTGATGGGCGATCGCTCCCAGCACGGCTATAGGTCGAACAATTCTTTCCATTATGACGTGTCGTTTGTTTCAATTCGCGGTTCATGTTTCTCCGCATGAGTTATGCTCATGCGGAAACATTTTCTCGAATAACGCGCTCGCCTTGGGAATTCGAATTATAATAGCTCGCTTTATGTGTCGATACAATATCGCGATGTTGAGGGGGGTGTCGAGGTGCATTGGAAGGAATTTCACTTATCGATTTTCGTTCGATAAAGTGCGATAAAGTGTCTCGACGAAATGGCGAATAATCGTATAAAGAGCGAGCGGGCGATCGTCAGAATTCACGCCGGGTCGCTTCTTAATCGTCCGCTTATATTTTGCATAATTCGATAATTAGCGATATTTACGAAAAGCAAGAAGTGAATGAATTACAAAATTTTCAGATGAGTAATTTGATGCATGTTTGTAACGTGTTCACGTAATCGACGTATAATTATGGCGAGGCAATAAACGTCATGTTTAATATGCGTTACGTGCGATATTTCCGCTAATAGATTCGGAAATATTTTACGCTGTAATTAAAA